TGGGACAGCAGCAGCGGCAGCAGCTATAATGTCTGTCACCAGTGTGCAATAGGAAGGGAGTCACAGATGCTAAAAGCAGAGGAGGACTTTCAGCTTTCCCACCTCCTGGCTCAGTGGAGTCATGTCCGTTGGTTTGGACCTGGTTGCTGTTCCCTCTACATGACCGTGGGTCTGAACATCCTTCCTTCCATGTCCCAGAGAACTGGAGGTTCTCTTGGTCTCTCCCATACCTACAGAGCATTCTCCACGCCGCTACAAAGATTGCAGTGTGGCCTGGTCTTCCTCAACACTGCTTCTTTATATCTAATGCCCACGTGCTCCTGCTGCCACCGGAGCTGTCTTTGTGCCAGGATGTGTTGTGCTGGGCTCTGCACCCCAAGTGGGCCTTTGACCGTTCCTGTGTGCAGATCACCTGCTCAGGGAGCAATTACTACTATGCCTGGTTCCAGCAGAAGGCACCTGGCACTGCCCCTGTCTCTGTGATCTTCTGGAACAGCCAGAGACCCTCGGACATCCCTTCACGGTTCTCTGGATCTGTGTCCGGCTCCACGGCCACGTTGACCATCGCTGGGGTCCAAGCCGAGGACGAGGCTGTCTATTACTGTGGTGGCTGGGACAGCAGCAGCAGCTATGGTGTGTAGCACTCATGAACAGTAGAAAGAGACACACAGACACCAAATCCAGCAGAGGGCTTTCAGCCCTTCTGCCTCCTGCCCAAACAGAGTTGTGGCTGTGGCTCTGAGGCAGGTTTGTGTCCCCTCTGCGTGACCATGGCTGTGAATGTCCTCCCTTTCCTGTCCCAGAGATCCTGAGTAAGCTTTGTGCCTGGGGGCCTTTGTTCCCCAGGACTCAGTGCTGGGATCTCTCCTCCTTACCATCTTTATCAAAGACCTTGATGAGGAGATTGCAAGCACTCTCAGTAAATTTTCAGATGACAGCCATTTTTGTGGGTGTGTTGATCTGCTGGAGTGTAGGTGGGCCCTTCAGAGGGAGCTGGACAGGCTGGACCGACAGGCTGGACCGACAGGCTGAGGTCCATTGTATGAACTTTAACAGGGCCAAGTGTCGAGTCCTGCACGTGGGCCACAGCAACGCCATGCCAAGCTCTAGACTTGGGGAGGAGTGGCTGGAGAGCCACTTTGATTGACTGCTGGCTGACCATGAGCCAGCCCATGAGTGTGCCCAGGTGGCAATGGCTTCCTAGCTTGTATTTGGAAGAGTGTAGTCAGCAGGACTCAAGGAGAGATTGTGCCACTCTGCTTGGCACTGGTGAGGCTGCACCTTGAGGACTGGGTTCAGTTTTAGGCACCGCAGGACAAGAAGGACATTGAGGTGTTTGAGAGGGGGCAGAGAAGGGCAACAAAACAGGTGAAGGGTCTTGACGACAAGTCTTATGAGGAATGGCCAAGGGAACTGGGGGTTTTTAGCCTGAAGAAGAGGAGGCTGAGGGGAGACCTTCTCGCTCTCTACAGCTACCTGTGAGAGGAGGTTGTAGGAGGGGCTGGTGTTGGCCTCTTCTTACCTGCTGCAAGTAACAGGACAAGAGGAAATGGTATTAAGTTACACTAGGGGAGGTTTAGGTTAGACGTTAGGAAAAACTTCTGCACCAAAAGAGTGGTCAAGGACTGGAGCAGGCTTCCCAGGAAAGTGGTTTCATCACTGTCACTGGGTGTATTTAAAACCTGTCTATTAGGGGTCCTGAGGGATATGGTGTAGAAGTGGTCTGGTAGGGATGGATAATGGTTTGACTCAATGGCCTTAAAGCTCCTTTCCAACCATAGTAATTCTGTGAGTCTGTTCTCACCACTGTGACTGAAGTTCTCCGTGTGGCCTTGCCTGGAATGCCACTGCCGCTTTGTACCAAATGCCCAGGCGTTCCTGCTGCTGGCAGAGGAGGATGTGTTGTGCTGGGCTCTGCTCCCCAAATTCTCTTGTGACTGTGGTTGCATCCATGCTTCTCCACCTGTGGCATTGTGTGCCCTTCTGCCAGTGGAGGTCTGTGCTCCTGGGGCACTGGCTGACCCCCATCTTGTCCCCTCTGTCCTCTCCCTCTCCAGGTTCCCTGGTCCAGGCAGTGCTGACTCAGCCGGCCTCGGTGTAAGCCAACCCGGGAGAAACCGTCCAGATCACCTGCTCTGGGAGCAGCAACAGCTATGGCTGGTA